CATCCAGGCCTTTATGCCACACACAGAGACAAAGTTTCACAAAGTTTTTTATTTAACATTAGTAAATTACTTTTACATTTACTTTTAGACATTTAGCAGATGCTTTTATCCAAAGCGACTTACAAATGAGGACAATGGAAGCAATCAAAATCAACAAAAGAGCAATGATATGCAAGTGCTATAACAAGTCTCAGTTAGCTTAATGCAGTACACGTAGCAATGTTTTAAAAAAAATAATATAATAAACAGATAGAATAGAAAAAGAATAGAGCAAGCTAGTGTTAGAGGCCTTTTTTATTTTGTTAATCAAAAGTCAGAAAGTCAGAATTATAATTGTATAATAAATAAAAAGAAAACAAATAGATAGAATGCAAAAAGATTAGAGAAGCAAGTGGTTTTTTTAAAGAAAACAAGCAGTTAGTAAATAAATAGTTTTTTTTTAAAATAAAGAATATAATTAGAATGGAGAGTGCTAGAGTTAGAGGGTCAAATAAAGATGGAAGAGATGTGTTTTTAGCTGATTCTTGAAGATGAGTTCGGATTGAGTTGGGCAGGTCATTCCACCAGGAGGAAACGTTTAATTTAAAAGTTCGTGAAAGTGATTTTGTGCTTCTTTGGGATGGCACAATCAAGCGACGTTCGCTTGCAGAACGCAAGCTTCTAGAGGGCACATAACTCTGAAGTAATGAATTTAGGTAAATGGGTGCAGAGCCAGTGGTGGTTTTGTAGGCAAACATTAATGCCTTGAATTGTATGCGAGCTGCTACTGGTAGCCAGTGCAAACTGATAAACAGCATTCTTTTTGGCTCATTAAAAATTAATCTTGCTGCCGCGTTCTGGATTAATTGTAAAGGTTTGACAGAACTGGCTGGAAGACCTGCCAAGAGAGCATTGCAATAGTCCAGCCTGGACAGAACAAGAGCTTGAACAAGGAGTTGTGAAGCATGTTCCGAAAGAAAGGGCCTGATCTTCTTGATGTTGTATAAAGCAAATCTGCAGGACCAGGCAGTTTTAGCAATGTGGTCTGAGAAAGTCAGCTGATCATCAATCATAACTCCAAGGTTTCTGGCTGTTTTTGAAGGAGTTATGGTTGATGTGCCTAACTGGATGGTGAAATTGTGATGAAACGATGGGTTTGATGGAACCACAAGCAGTTCTGTCTTGGCAAGGTTGAGTTGAAGGTGATGGAAGGTGGTCCTTCATCCAGCAAGAAATGTCTGTTAGACAAGCTGAGATGTGAATGACAGAACCTAATGATGCCATGTAGACAGAGAAGAGAAGTGGTCCAAGAACTGAGCCCTGAGGCAAACTTATCACACTTGTTTGTTTGTTTGTCACACTTTAATGTTTCAGATCATCAAACAAATTTAAATATTAGTCAAAGATAACACAAGTGAACACAACATGCA